AATCAGCCTGCTGCTCTTCCCTGAGCCCCAGGGTGGAGGAGGCTCTATCTGTGGGGCAAGCGGGATGGGATGCGCTAGGGAGAAGGGTCTTGGGAAGGGCTGGAGTGTGCAGGGTCTCAGGGAGCCTCAGTAACCCGCTGCGGCACAGGTACGAGAACAGGTCCCCCGTGGTGGAGTGCAAGCACTACCTGCAGGACCAGGGCGTCAGCATTGGCTGCCACTTCAACCAGAGTGAGATCATCCAGTTCCAGCCTTTCCGTGTCCTCGTCAATGCCAGCCTCGGCGGCAGGACCCTGGAGATCCCCAGCAAGCGCATGGAGCTGCAGGATCTGGGTATGGAGCGGTGGGGGGCACCCAGTCTCCTCTGCAGGGCTTCTGTGGGGCAGGAGCAGGGCTGTGAGTCCCCAGGGCTGCCCCATCACATCTTGGCTGGTGGTGGGGCCACCAGGGCATGGGGATGGCGCTCACCAGGCATCATCTGTGCTTTGCAGTGAAACCAGAGGCGCCCGTTAACCTGACCATCCGCAACATGAGCAGCAACCAGCTGCAGCTGACGTGGACCTCTCCGTACCCCAAAGCCCAGTGCCTGGAGCATGCCGTCAAGTACAAGAGCAACAAGGACACCAGCTGGATGGTGAGAGCTTCCCAGAAGCGACACCTTCGCAGTTGTGCCCAGGGATGAGCCACGCACCAGCCTCCACAGCAGTGCTGACCCTCATTGCATGGTCCATGTCTCTATACAGGAGCAACGGGTGAAAGGAGAAATCTTCTCCTTCCCCAGCGTGGACTATGAGAAGTACTACACCTTCTATGTGCGCAGCAAGATCAACAGCTACTGCGGCAGCACCCAGCTCTGGAGCGAGTGGAGCGTCCCTGTGGTCTGGGGCAACAACTCCACCAGCAAGAGTAGGTCCTGGGGGTTGAGGCGGGACAAGACGGGCTGGGGCATGGTGAGACTCAGCAGGTGAGGGATGGCCAAGCAAGTGGAAAACTGGTCCAAGGCAGCAGCTGTAGGGGTGAGACCCCTCCAAGCACCTGGGGCACAGGCTGCAGCAGCAGCCCTGCATCCTTTGCACTTTTGGAAGCCAAACATCCCCTGCCAGAGAGACCTGCTGACTTTTTCCAAGGGGTTCTTAGCCCTGGAGGGCTGCTCTGGCACAGGTGGTCCAGGACAGGGTCAGCAGTCAGTTGTGGTGACAGCGTGGCAGGGCCTGGGGACGGGCCCCTTCTCCTTACTCTCCTGCTTGCCATGGACAGTGCCGAGCTCTCATGGCCACCCATGAAGGGCCACCAGTGTGGCCACCCCACTGCCGTGGCAGTATGCCATCTGGGGGTCTGTGTCAGCCCGGCTCTTTCCAGGTGTAGTGGAGGAGCAGCTGCACTGGTTCTGGATCCACACTGTCTTGATCCCCATTGCCTCCTGCCTGCTCTTGCTAGTCCTTGTCATCCTGCTGGTGCGCATGGAAAGGTGAGCGTGAGGGTCTGGTGGGGGGCAGCGGTGCTGGAGCCCTTCCCTTCTAACACATCTCTCCCGCACAGGGTGTGGGTCATCCTCATGCCCCGAATCCCCAACCCCAGCAAGAACTTTGACGAGCTCTTTGTCACCCACAATGGCAACTTCCAGGTAAGGCAGCTGCAGGCAGCCCTGCGCCGGGCTCACTCCCTGCCTTGTGGGGTTAGGGCTGAGCTGGGTGGTGGCTTCTCTCACTGGGCTCTGCTCCCTGCAGGAATGGGCTGGAGTCCCCAAAGACATCGTGGAGAGTTTCAAGCCCAACTACAGCGAGAACATCTGCTATGTGAGCGAGCTGCCACCCAAGGAGAGCTACGAGCATCTCTGGGAAAGCAGCAACCACCTGCTGTCGCTGATGCCCACGGCCCTGGCTGCCCCCTGTGAGCACAGCCCCTACAAGAGCACCTACGTGGGAGTGTGATGCACTCCTGCACCCCTGCACTCCACATGCTCCGCACCCCACTGCCTGATACCTTGCCACCCAGCAGGCCTCACTCCCTGCTCCCACCCTGCCTCCACCAAATGCCCGGGTCCCCCAGCCCTGCTCCCTGTCGTGGCCACATTCAGCCCCCGCCCCGC